TCAAGATAAGTACATTTTTTGAGGGGCCAGGCAAAGATGTCTCCCATCTACAAGAAGTCACAAAGGCACAAGGGTATTGCTTAAAATTTTGAAGGGTTTCAGAAAAGTCACCAATCCCTTTTCTGAGTCCAGAACTCCTGACGACCTCTGAAGCCGGCAAGCTACCAACCTTGCTGGGAACTGTACCTGATAACCCATGGAGATGTTTCCTTCACTTTTCAGCCTGGAAATATAAATGTGCTGATGGCTGAATACTCACAAAGAAAGCAGACAGCCATTAAGCCCTCTTGTTTTCCATCCAAAAGGACTACCTTCAAGGTGGGAGTAGCCTGTCATGTGAAACTGAGTGCCAATCCTGTGGACACGGGCAGCCCCATGAGTACACCGAGGGGAAGTAGCAATGTGTAGAGAGGGAAACACAATGACCAGGCAGTGTTAGATGCTATGCCTTGGTAACGGTGTCCAAGTGCCAAGACGTCTACCTTCTTCCATCCTTCTCTTTGTTTATCAAGAGACCAAGGCCAGAAAAAGAAACATGTCAGGAGCTTCCCCTCCACTTTAGCCAGGAGAACCACAGAGAACAAGGAAGAAAGATCCTACAGTTCAATATTGTCCCATACACCTGACATTCCTCCAAAAGCATGACAAGTCTGCTCATCTGAATACATTCTCACTTAGCACATTCTGCTGGATGTACTGAGTATAGGAAGAGCAGGAAAGATGCTGTTCCCACCTAGATGGAGTTGCAATCACTTCTTTGTCTCTTTCCCTGTCACCAGCTCTGAGTCCTTTTTAAACCCTTTTCTCTTTCTAGGAGGTTATTCTGAGAAAATCAAGGCGTATTGTTCTATTCATTGTTCTATTTTTTTTCTTTAAACGTCATAAGAAAAACTGAACCTGAATACATTAGAAGACACAGAGACCAGCTACATTTTCTTTCTTCAAGGGCTGTACATTAAAGATTTGCCAACATTCTTTTCCCAACCACATTTCCCAAAAGCTTAGTACTTGGCCATAAAAGTTCACTCCAGTCTAAAAATTTGGCATGTCTGACAATATAGTCTTCACATTTTCAAATTTGGCTGACATCTTTTTGAATAACTAATGGGGAAATTGGAAAGAGTGGAGTGAGATGTTATAAACCAGGCATAGTTCAGAGAGATAATTCACTTCAAGGATAATGGATTTATAAGAGATCAACACTGAACTGTAGTAGATTGTTTTTCCAGATAGGTTTTCACAAAAGCCTAAAGCTACATAGATACATTGTATGCAAAAGAACATGAGTAAGTAATATGAAAGATCCAAGATTCCTTCTGTTGGAAATTCTTGATTTTTCTTGTTTCTTAGTTTTGGACATTTCTAACCAATGCAACAAAACAAACAAAAACAAAAGATCTCTACATATATTAATAAATTATAAATACACATATGACACATGGAGATAAACTGCACTCATACCCAAATATGTATGTATGCCTATAATGGTAGAATTAATGAGCCTGCTGGAGGTTTCTGTTAGTTTTGCTAGGAGTCATTATGTGCTGCTGGAATTAAAAGGTTTAATAGTTTCTTATTCATTTATATATCTTGGATAGTTAGGTTTTAGCATGTTTGTACATAAAGACAGGTGTGTTGGGTATTATGCACTATGTGTAGGATGTGTTTTCAGAAGTGGCAAGTGAGATAATTAGACAGAAAGCCAATACAGAATACAGATGTGTCATGTAGATAGTATTCAGAGGGTTCTGCACAAAGTGACAGCCATGCTTCTGCAACCCTTCCTCCCTCAGGTTCCAATTCATGAAAGCACTTTGTTGTAGCCTCCCAGATCCCCACGTTAAATCAATATGCAATTGAGAACCTGGAAAATATAACTTTTCATTCCCATTTGAAGATAAACCAAGTGTTTTGCTTGCCCTAAATAAAGCTGATTTTGCAAAACTCTGGTGTTCACCATGTGAAACAGATCCCTATCCTTTTATATAAGTACAAAAGTGCTTGCCTAGAAATGTCATTCTGTTTCAAGGTCACGGATATAAAACTCCAGTGACTGAAGTTAATAACAAGGACACCAGTTTTTCAGTGTGGCCACGTGTCTATCCAATTCTGTTTCAAAGCACAATTGGCATGATTCTCTTCACACTCTACAAGACTATTCAGAATCATAGAACTTAACTCACAGACTATACCTTGCGTTATTAGAAAGGATCCTTTCAGTGGAGCTCTAAGTCAATTCTAATTACTACTGTGAATACAGCAGCAAGAATGAATTTCTTCACATTTTTCCTCATTTGTCCTATTTTTTTAGAGTAATTTTTTTCTCAATGTATATTTTTATTGAATTTTTGGTGCATTTCATAGAGTAGATCCCCTCTCCCACCTGCACCCCTTATAACCCCCACTGGATTTCATGCTTTCTGCCATATAGCATAAGACCTATGGAGTCAAGTTTTTGTACCCAGATGCAAGCTCATCCACAGGAGTCTAGTCAGCCTATCTAGAGTCTCTCCCTCATCCAGCAGTAATCAGCTGCCAATAACTCCTTGACTAAGGATGGGACCTGTTGCTCATTTTTGATGGATAATCTAAAGATTTCTTATTGCATAGCTTTTAGTTTGCTTTTCTATTGCTTTGATAAACCACTCTGACGACAATCGACTTGGGGAGGAAAGGGTTTTTCTGGCTTATCAGTTCTGATCACAGTTCATGATTAAGGGAAACCAGGGCAAAAACTCAAGCCAGGAACCTGAAGTCAGGGGCTAAACCGGAGTGCTGCTTACTACTTACTCCTCTGACCTGAGCTCAGCCTGCTTTCTTATATAACCCAGGACCACCTGCCCAGGGTTGGCACCACCCACAATGGCCTGAGTTCTTCCACATCACTCAACAATCAAGAAAATGCCTCACAGACATGACCACAAGTCAGTCAGATAGAAGAAACTCCCCAATTGAGGTTCCCTCTTCTCAGGTATGTCAAGTTGATAACTGAAGCCAACCACTACAATTGGCTTAGATAACTTAAACTTTGTATATCAAATACCTTTATATCATATGTATGGCATCTAGAACACATGCTCAATCACAGCACATTGGATAGGTGTATTCATGGAGTCCTAGAGCTAAAGACAGAGCACTCTCTAAAACAGTCTCCAGAATATCCTCCTATCTCACACCAGAAATTCCATCTATATTACAGCAGAAATTCTCAAAAAGTTGAGACTTATGGGCAGCCAACAGACTGAATGGGAAGGTCCTCTGGTATTATTAGAGATAAAGAACCAAAGCCACTCATTTAATGTCATGCTAGTTTAAAAGCCAACAGGCCCTGGTGTCTGCGAATAAATAGGGAAAAATTTTTTCTCTACTGATACTTCAAAGACTTTGCAACATCTGGAATCCGGTTCCATATGGGGTATTCTACTAAGAAGTAAGAATAAAAGGATTTTAACAGGGCAAACAAGATTCAGGTTTCTTACAATATGTTCTCCCTGGGGGAAAACAAATAACACAATGCATCTGACTAACCTTTCTGCACTTGAGCTGCATTAATTAGCATTTAGTTATGGATTCTGTCCTGAGCCACAGGAACTCTGCGTTACAGCTGTTTCCACTGGGGGGGGGGGGGGAATAGCTTCTCCAGGTTCAATTCCCCTAAATTTAAAACTCTGGAAAAAGTTTTCTTTCGCCTCTTTTTCCCACCATTTTTGGATATA